CCTCTTTCTCTATTCATAAATATTTTTCTTCACTTAAGGTTGCCTTAGTGCTTTTTGAGTGAAGCTTTTCTTGTGAGAAATGATTTTTTGTAAGTGATTGTGTCGGTCGTTTAAATTCTCAAGTGTGCGATACTCTTGGGAGATTGAGTTAGGTTATTGAGATAAATCTATTATAAAATCTATGTGATTGGTTTCTTAAGCTTTGTCGAAAAAACTTTATTTTAGTTATTGAGATAAGCCATAAAACTATAAGAACGACTCTCTATATTAGCATGGGATACAAGCTATTATTGGTTGGGGATAAATTTGTAAAAGTTTTAAACTCAGTTTTTATTAAAGGTTCTTGAACATTATCTGTAAAAGCTCAAAAGTTTATAGTCAAAATCTCAAGAATAACTCTTGGGGGCATGACTATGCCAATGTTCGGTCAAACTTAAATAGCTCACTAGTGCAACCTCTCTAACCTTCACTCTCTTTATTTTATGTTATTTTTTATTCACTTTTATTTCTGATGTCGTTTACTCTTAAAGAAACTACTAACACAGTCTTAATCGAGAAAAGTATAAAATTAATCACGAATTTTAAATACCACAACTCCCTCTTCTTGTGCTTGAAGTCAATTGTCCAACAAACTCATATTCTTTAATGGGGGAGGGTATAGTATGTGTAAAGATAAAATGATGTTTTTCATAGAAGGGATGGGTTGTAGTATTTGAAAGGTTGTGAGTGAAGGTTCATTTGTTCCTACACACAAATTTAATGGTGTTGTAGAAAACAAAACTAAAAAGGATTGGATCAAAGATGATAAAGAAAATGGGCAGCGCAGTTTGAAGGCGAAAACTATCACCATTACTGCTCCCGGTCTTGATGAATTTTTATGAGTTTATCACTGTGAGACTGCAAAAGAAATATGGAACATACTACAAATTACCCAAGAAGGAACAAGTGAGGTAAATAGGGAAGGGTTGGGAAAATTAATTCATGAGTATGAACTCTTCAGAATGAAACCTGAAGAGAGCATTAATCAAGTGCAAACACAATATACGCATATTGTGAGCCATATGAGAACTCTGGTAAAAACATTTTCAAATGAAGAACTAGTTGTAAGAATTCTTAGATGCATAAATTGTACCTTGAAACCCAAAGTCATTGTGATTAGTGAATTTAAGGATTTAGAGACTATGTACACACACATACACTTCTTGGAAAATTGCAGGAACACAAGATGAAACACACACACACACACAACATTGTAATGAATTCATGGAATTCTTGTTTCGTAAATTCAAAGAATTCCTAAAGCATGAAAAAGAAACCTCAAGGATCCATAAGAAAAGTGAAGAAATTTCCTCGTCCATTCTTACATGTTATCAATGTGAAGAGAAATGGCTCATATGACTAGACTGCTCTCAAAATCTGATTAGAAACCAAAAACCAAGAAAGTTCAAGAAATATCAAAAGAGATTATACATGCCATATGATAATTATGATATAGAATCTTCAAATAAAGAAGAAGAAAACCTCTTTCTGATGGCGAATCATCAAGACAATGAGATAACCTTTCACATTTTCTATTAATATTTATTTTGCAATTGTGAGAAGCTAACAAAAGCAATGAGTAAATTAGAACAAATTATCTCTACCTCTGAAGTCACTATCTCTTCCCTTGAATTGAAAAATAAAAACTTGTTGGAAGAAATTAAAAGTCTTAGATAGAGACAATATGGTATAATTCAAAACTCTTCCTCATCTTATAAAGATTTAGATGAATCTATCAAGTGTGATCAATCTAATATTTTGAAAATAAAATTGATAATCTTCAAAAAAATCGATATATTCACTAAAGGGACATGCAACTTGAACCTTGTGTTAAGTAACCAAAGGGTGTGATACAATAAGGTTGGCCTTTGTTATGAACCTAAGAGCAATAGAAATTTTTTTAGCAATATTTGCAATACCTAACAAAAATCTAAATGTAAAACCCTAAAATGAAATTATTGTAATGAAGACGACCATATTGTCATGTTCTGTTTTATCAAAAAAAGTCGTGAGAGCAAAGAAGGACATCTCTTCATTAATTTTATAAAGAAAATTATGAACGTAAAAATAGAAAGGTGTCTACTCATAATATGTTTTCCACTAACATCAAAGGATCCAAAAAGATATGAGTATCAAAAATAGAAAAGTCAAGTTATGATGCAGAGGATGATACCGATAATTTCTCTTCAAGTGACCTAACTGAAGAAATAAATATGTTCTATTGTTTCACTCCTATGAAGGAATAAATCTCTACGCACAATAACAACAAGACAAAATCATTGAATTTTTTATTTTTGGTAAGATCTCTAATCCTACCATTTAGTTGTCCTAGTTAATTAATGCTTTATTGCACGAGTTACTTAGTATTAAGTAGCTCGTGTAACAAAGATAATAGAGTATGTTTAATTCTTTTATATGCATGGTCTATAAAAACCTCAATCCATTTTAATCTTCTTTTCGAAAAGACCATGACTATGGGAGAATTCATACATATTACCTATGGTGAACTAACCCCTAGTAGGTAAAAGTAGATGTTGTTAATTTTGAAGTTATCCCTTAAAGAAAATCCTTGAAATATGAAAATAAAGAGAAAGAAAAATATCAGCCACAAGAGAATGTCCAAATTCTAAATGCAGCGATACAATTTAAAGAAGTCAACTTAATCAAGGTCTATCTTAAGAACGAATGATCATTAAGGACTATCTTATTCAAAATGCTAATGGAGATATTTCTAAGGGAATTTCATCTCAAAACTCCCTTAACAAGGTATATAACCATATGCTTGTTGTTTCACAAACTGAGCAAAAAGAAATTGATGAAGCTATCATCAAAGAACATTTATCTATTTCTCTGCAACAAATATTAAATCAATTTGAGATAAATAACTATTGGAATCTATTTCCCAAAGCTAGTTGAGTGATTGGAGTCTTAGTGGATCTTTTGGAACAAACTTGATGTGTTTAGAAATGTTTTGAGAAATAAAACAAGATTCATTACGAAATATTACAATCAACAACAAAGCATAGATCTCAATGAAACTTATACCCATGTAGCTCAACTAGAAGCCATAATAAGGGTTCTAGCCTTTTCATGCATCTTCTTAAAATATTTCAAATGGATGGAAATATTGCACTCTTGAAATGCTACATTCATACGGAAGTATGTCATTCTCCCGACTTTATAAAACTATTATTCTCTCTTGGAAACAAGATCTTAAGAAGGAAGAATGATATAACATTTATTCAAAAACAAGCATTTCCTTCTTGTGCTTGTTCTTTTTGTCGATTCAATGGTACTAACGAATCCTTGTGCAAGGATGTTTCTGATATGACGCAGACTAAAATAGAAAGATAAGAGAGTCTTTTGCAATATCTTAGGTGTATAAGAAGCAGTGGTTACCCGATGGTGATTGTCAATCCGAATAGATTTGATCATGACATTGATGGTGTTCTTCAATTAATGAGATCAAGGTGTTAATGTTGACCATGGAACCTCTTAAAAGGTAAAGAAAACCGACGATGGCTTGTCATTTCTCCAAAAGAAGGATTTTTCTCAAGTTATCTCGAGATTTGAAAGACTATGGAGCAAAGTGGTGTCAAACACCTATAGCCCAATACTAGTCTAAGGTCTAAGGAGACTAAAAATAGTTTGTTCAAAACAATCTTAAGGGGAAATAATTATCTCTTGGAGAAATATGATCAAGAAAGAAGTAGACTTCATGATTTCCTTTCGGTTTTGAAAACTTCAAAGACTTATGAGACATGTTCGATAAAGAATAAAAAAGAATAAGTTCTCTAAAGCTTATCTACCGGTTGATTTCAAAGTTGAATGCTATCTTCCGTGAGAGAAAAATAAAGTCTTAGATCCTACTTTTTACTCCTCAATCTAGAGTCAATAAAATGAGTTAGTCAATTGATTGGAGCTTTATCTCAATTAATTGACTCATTAACTCAGGTCAAGGATCATTTCTTTATATATATCAATATCATGATACTAAAGTAAATGCAACAAATATAATTGTCTATTAGGGCTTAATCAGTCTATCTCAAGCTAGCACAAAGTAAATCAAACATTAATTTAACATTTATTGGCCTAGTGTGAGCATCAAGCATCATCTAAGAACTATATTATATTAAGGTATATGGAAATCTTTTCTTTGGTGATATTATACATATCTTCCAGATTTAACTTTTGACTTTCAATCAAAAATAACTTGAAGTTTCAAAATATACAAAATGAACTTCCGGATGAAATTTAGTTTTTCGTACGTGCAAGATTAATTTATTATCACTGTAAATAATATTAATGAAATTTTCAACACAAGAAATACAACTTTCTGCTCAATAATAAGTAAAGATATCCAAGTCATATATTTAACATTTGTATTAGAAATAACAACTATTTAAAGCTTTTTACATCTTACTACATAATTGTCATCTAAGCATAACATTTATTTTAGAATGTGATATAGACATATTGTTTAATGGTTTTGCAATAACATAAATGCAATTCCTTTATAATGGTTCTTATAACATCCTCTCAAGAATCTTTTAAAATATCCGTAGACTTTCTAATGATGAGCATTATAATTAATTTTGGTACTTAATATTAGCTTATACCTTATAATTTATTTAGTGGAGTACATATCATGGGTACATAATTGATCTAATCATCAAAGCATAATATTTACATAATTGATTTAATCACCAAAACATATGGATGTTAAACATAAAATAAGTAGAAAATTTTAAACATAAAGCACATTTGTAGAGGATGCTGGGTGATGAACATTCAAGTTGAAGAAGAAAACTGTCAAATAAATGTTCCATTTACTCTTATTAAAAAAAAGTTCGGAGCATAAATCTAAACCCTAAAAAATAAGCTATCAAATGTCATTCTAGTTTCAAATTTTCAACTTCAGCTCCAAATTGAATTCACTGAAACCAACTTCAACAACAAAATCAATGAACCATCTTCAAGTGCATATTCAATACATCTAACAGATCATACACAGGCATCAAATCTGAGCTAGAATCATACCCGGCAAAGAACTTATACATAGAAGCACCCAAATCAACCCAACTCTCTCCAGCCATCTTCTTTAACCCTCCATCTCTCATTACCCTCCTCACATTCGCCGCTTTCTCCCACTTTCCATCTTCTGCATACATGTTAGCAACAATAACTAAATTCCCTCCCCTCTTTGGCTCCATTCCAAGTAATCTCTTTCTTACTTTATCCCCTATTCCCGCACGGTCGCAAACATCATGAACCGTGCATGCACTTAACAAAGTCCTCCACACAATTGGATCCGGCGCAAAAGGCATCCTATGTATAAATTCATAAGCTTCGCTAAGACGGCCGGCACGACCCAATACATCGACCATTGCTCCATAGTGAACCATCATAGGTTTTATCCCATGAAGAATTTCCATATCGCGAAAGTATCGGTAACCCTCGTCAACCATCCCAGCATGGCTGCAAGCACATAGAACACCAAGATAAGTAACATAATTAGGCAAAATATTTTTACTCTTTTCATCACTCATCATCTCGAACAATACAAGAGCTTCCTCCGCAAAACCATGTTGCGCTAACCCCGTTATCATAGAACTCCAAGTCCACACATTTCTCTTTTCCATTCTTTCAAATACAACCCGAGCATAACCTAAATCACCCGACTTACCATACATGTCAACAAGAGCAGTACCTAACTGAACACTCAAAACCATCCCTCTCAAAATCACCTGACAATGAACCCATCTTCCAAGGCTCAAATAACCTAACTCAGCACAAACAGTCAACAACAAAACCATACTAGTCTCATCCGGCTCAAACCCACAATCCCTCATCTTAAAAAAATACTCAATCCCATCATTCAACCAAACATTCTCAACACAAGCAGTCATAACAGAATTCCACGAAACAATCGTCCTCGCACACATTTCATCAAACACCTTACGCGCGTAAACAATCCTCTTACAACAACCATAAAAATTAATCAAATTGTTACCAACATAAACATCAGAATCCAAACCAAACTTCACAACATCACAATGAACCTGAGTCCCTTCACATAACGCTGAATCAACCGCACAAGACCTGAAAACAAAAGGAAAAGTAAGCTTATTAGGTCTAACACCTCTTTTTCGCATTTCCTTAAACACCCAGATGGATTCTTTTGGAGAATCACTTGATGAATAGCCTCTGATGAGAATGTTCCATGAAATGGGTGATGGGTTGTTGGAAAAGTAATGAACGAGCTTACGTGCATGGATGAGGCTTTTGAAGGGAGAGAGGGAACAAAAGTAAACGAGTTCTGAGAGCAAGTGGGTGTCGTTGTGAAGGGAGTTGAGGTGAATTTGTGCTTGGAGTTGATGAAGATGGTTGATGGAATGACAAGAGTTGAGAAGAGAGAGACATTGTTGTTTGTTTGTGAGAGGGGGTGTGTGTTTAGCAATGTTTTGAATCGAACCATGCATTTGGGTTTTGAGTTTCCGGTTTGAGTGAGGAGGGTAATACACACGGTTTGATTTGAACAATTATTTTAATAACATTTTTAGGGGTTTTTCTTTATAGTTTTATGTTTAAACTAGTTAAATCCCATGTAATGTAGAATTGTATTTAAACGCATATTGAATGTTTTATTAATTGGATTTAATTGATTGTGTCTCGCTTCATCACTCACACACTTCATTTGTCATTGTACCAATTACACACTTCATTATTAGATAAATGACTAAGTATGTTTCATCCATCTAATTGCATTAAGACTAAAAAAATGTTAATCCAGAAACATGTACACCTACACAAAAGACAACAAAGTTCAAGATTGAGACATCAATTTCAATTGCAAAATACTAACTCTTCCAAAAACTATTATATGGAGAAACAAAAACCTTGTCGGTTATTATATAATATGTTTGCCAATGATGCATGTTGAATAGAAAAAATAATTGTGCAGCAGTTTGTACGGTACAGGCCCTGCTAACAAACATCAATTTTTGCAGAAAAATTGCATCCAACTAATTTTTGGAGCATCCGACTCAGGTAATTTCAATGCCAAATAATCAATAGGTGTCATAAGAACTACACAAACAGCCTAATCCAAGTTTATCTGTCATAATTTTGTAGCTACAAAAAGCATTTAAAATCGCGTTAAATGATAAATGAGAAGACTATTTTAACTTTCAGAAGCACGCTACATTGCTGAGCAATACTAATATATATATATATATATATATATATATATATATATATATATATATATATATATATATATATATATATATATTAAAATATTAGATTTAATATTTAAATATAATTCAAGTTGTGTAAATTCAAACTCAATTAGGTTGTATATAAATAATTATAGTCTTTATCATTATTTATATATTTTAATAATATAAATTCTTATTTCTTTTATTATTTCTTCTCTCTCCCCTCACTAAAGTGTCTCTCGCACTAACAAATTGGTATCCAGAGCTTCTGGTTATTGTTCTTGATCAAGTTTTCAAGAATTTCACATTAGAGACCGTGTTTCTAGGACAAGTGAATCAACCGCTGCGAAGATGACTAGTGATAAGGGTATTTTGAATTCTCTTCCAATGCTTGACGACAAGAATTGGATCTGATAGAAAAACAGATGCAATCCTTGTTTAGCTTCCATGAAACCCTAAAAGTGGTTAGCGACGACATTCATGCGTTGGCTGCAGATGCAACCAACGGACAGAAAAAACCCACAACAAAGTCAAGAAAAAAGATTGCAAGGCTGCTTATTGCATTCAGACGACGGTCGATGCTGCTAACTTTGACATAATCTCTCATGTTGAAACGGCGAATGAGGCAAGGGATATTCTGGTGAAGTATTACGAAGGAGGTGAGAAAGTCAAGGTGGTCAAGTTACAAACCTTGTGTCGACAATATGAGTTGTTGTCGATGATAGAAGATGAAAAAGTTGCAGAATATGTGTCGAAGGTTCAAAAACCTGTCCATCTCATGAAGGATTATGGTGAAACCATAACTAATAAGATGATAGTTGAGAAGGTAATGAGAACATTGACCTCTCACTTTGATCACGTTATCGTAGCTATTCAAGAATCCAACAATCTTGAAACCACTAAAATGGAAGGTTTTGTTGGTTCGTTGGAGGCGCGTGAGATGAGGATTGTCGAAAGAAAAGGAGTGCAAGACTCGATACAGGCTCTACAAGCTCAGTCATTGAAAAAGGATGGTGGTTCCAACAAATTCAAAGACAAGTTCGACAAGACTCGGGGAAAGAAGTCTTGGTCGAAACCTCACAAACATTAGGTCGAAGATTGAACTTATGAATCCTCGAAAGGAAGAGGAGGAAACTATCGAAAGTACAAAGAAGATAAAAAAAGGTGTGTAATACTATAATTGTGAAAAGGGGGGTCACGTAGCCAAGAATTGTTGGTACAGAAAAGAAAAGGGATCGACAAGCAAGGACGAAAGAGAGGACCTTGCACGCTAAGATTCAGATGATTCTAAAGGTGGTATGGCGGTTATGGCTACAGTTGCAGATAACCATGTCGAACCCAAAATCTGGTTTCTCGACTCAGGCTGCTCGAACCACATGACCGGTCGAAATGAGTGGTTGGAAGATTTTAACGAGTCAAGGAAGAGCAAGGTAAAACTTGCTGATAATAGTTCGTTGCAAGCAGAAGGTACTTGAAATATAGTCTTTCAAATGAGTAATGGAGGGAAAGTTATGATCAAATATGTGCTTTATGTACCTTGAATAAAGTGCACCTTGCTAAGTGTTGTACAACTAGTCGAAAAAGGTTTCTCAATTATCATGAAAGATGGAGCTTTGAAATTGTTCGACACCAAGAACAATTTGGTCTTAAAATCTCCTTTGTCGAAGACTGGGAAATTTAAGATTATGATCAGTTCGACTGAAGTTCAATGTTTGAAAACTGTTATTGACCACAAGGATAGTTGGTTGTGGCATTTGAGGTTTGGACATTTGAATTTTCGATCACTTAATTAACTGATTACTCAAGATATGGTCACTGGAAATCCAAGTCTTGAGATGCTTGAAAAACTTTGTGAAAGTTGTTTAGTAGGAAAGCAATCCAGAAATTCTTTCGTTTCAACTATGCCAATGAGATCATCTTGCATAATCGAAGTGGTACATTCAGATATATGTGGTCCATTCGAAGATACAATTTGTGGAAACAAATATTTTATTTCGTTTGTCGATGAGCTTAGTCGAAAGCTGTGGATCTATGTGATCAAATGAAAAGATGAAGTATTTGAAATCTTTAAGAGATTCAAGATACTTGTCGAAAACCAAAGTGAGAAGAAGATCAAAGTTCTGCGAATAGATGGAGGTGGCGAATACACATCCAAGATATTTGAAGATTTTTGTGTAGAACATGGTGTTGATCATGAGGTAAGTGCTCCTTATAAATCTCAACATAATAGAATTGCTGAAAGAAGAAACAGAACCATATTAGATATAGCGAGATGCATGCTGAAGCAAAAGAATTTGCCAAAGTATTTATAGGGAGAAGTTGTTTCGACTGCAGTTTATATTTTGAATAGGTATTGATCTCACCGGATCAGAGATGGACCGTCACAGCTGGCTCGGGAAGAAGTTGAATGAGATTGGGGGGGGGGGAGTACCTGCAAGACACTCCGATGGCAAAGTAAGAAGCGGAATGAGCAAGCAAGTAAGAGTTCTGAGATATGAGTTGAATACTTAACCCTCTCGGAAGAGAGGGTATTTATAGCCCTCAGCACTGGGGCAAGGTCTCTTTATTGGGCTGATCAAATAGGCCCAACAAAGAGACTGTCAGGTTCGACGTGTGTAGTGAGGACCCGCACGTGGCCCCCTACCTGGATAACGTCCTCCGCAAGACAGGGAGGATAGGGACGCGATCTTTCTGGGACCATGAAGACTCCGCGAAATCCGGAAAGGTTGGAAGTCAACCCTACGAGGAAGGTGCTCGGGAGGAGCGCATGCCCGTTGGAGATGGTCTGTGCAAGCACCGACAGGAAGCAGTCTTGGTCGACAAGACATTTGTGGTCGGGATGTGCTCGGGGGAAATACTGCTCAGCGCAGCAGGTTGGCAAGCTTGGATTGGACCTCATTGGTAGTTAGGCTAAGGGCAGGCCCAATCCAGAACAGGTATCCTACCAAGATATTGAAGAACAAAGCTCCTGAAGAAGTATGGAGTGGAAAACGACCATCAGTGAGTCATTTTAAGATGTTTGGCTTTATGTGTTACAAGTATGTTCCTCATGCAATAAGAAGGAAGCTTGATGACAAGAGTGAACCTATGATTCTGGTAGAATATCATAAAATTGGTTCATATAGACTATTCAATCCAATTAATGAGAAGATTGTGTTGAGTCGAGATATTGTGATTAATGAAAATTCTGCCTGGGATTAGAATTCTAGCAATTTAATTAACAAGTCATTGATGAGCAAGCAAGTAAGAGTTCTGAGATATGAGTTGAATACCTAACCCTCTCGGAAGAGAGGGTATTTATAGCCCCAGCGCTGGGCTAAGGTCTCTTTATTGGGATGATCAAACATGCCCAACAAAGAGACTGCCAGGTTCTACGTGTGTAGTGGGGACCCACATGTGGCCCCTACCTGGATAACGTCCTCCGCAAGACAGGGAGGATAGGGACGCGATCTTTCTGGGACCATGAAGACTCCGCGAAATCCGGAGAGGTTGGAAGTCAGCCCTACGAGGAAGGTGCTCGGGAGGAGCGCATGCCCGTTGGAGATGGTCTCTGTGAGCACCAACGGGAATTGTTGAGAGAATCCAGTCGAAATCGAAGAAGAAGCAGTTGCTGACATTCTCGACACATCCGAAGAGGTTGTGGCTGAAATAAGCCAAAGACCTCAAAGAAATAGAGTTCTTCCAACAAAACTTCATGATTATGAAGTGGTGGGTGATGATGAAGTCACACCAGATGGAGAATTAGTTCATTTTGCTTTACTTGCAAGTGATTAACCAATTGACTATATCGAAGCTTTGAAGACTAAACAGTGGAAGTTAGCTATGGTCGAAGAGTTACAGGAAATCGAAAGAAACAACACATGAGAGTTAGTCGAATTGGCAGCACATACAAAAGCTATCGAAGTAAAATGGGGATTCAAGTTGAAACATAATGTTGATGGCTTGATAGAAAGACATAAAGCAATATTAGTAGCTTGATGGTTTCTTCAAAGAGAAGGAATTGACTACTCTGAAGTATTTGCTCCAGTAGCAAGATTGGAGACTGCTCGACTAGTGGTAGTATTGGCATGCAACCAAGGTTGGTCGACATTTCATTTAGATGTGAAATCAGCATTTCTGAATGGTCCTTTAGACGAAGAGGTCTATGTAACACAACCATCAGGGTTTGTGATTCAGAAAAAAGCGAGTAAAGTATATAAGTTG